AGAAGACAGGGACCCCGTCGTGTGATTTAAAAGGGAGGCGAGCAGACGACTTTCACAATCGACGATGTCGAGCTGCGCGTACTCCGCGTGCATTTTCAACAAATTCGTCAGCGTCTGGTGGGGCGAGGGATCCCTCGCCGTGGCCGCCGGGGGGGAAGACCGCGAACCCGCCTTGGCGTCGTCGTGGATGGTCACTTTTGGGTCGGATAACCCCTCGGGATAGATCCCCGCCGCGGGGTCTTTGGGAGGATCCATAAAAGGAACCGAGGGCTTCTTGGAAGGCCGAAAGGCGGCTTTGTCGCCTCCGCCTTTCTTGGTCTTGTGGTGCTTGCCCGTTCCTTTCGTCACTTTGTGAGCGTTCGGAGGGCCTTTGGGGCTATAATTACCGTTAGCCCTCCCTAAGGCACTTATCGCATTATTGTCCGGTAAAAAATCAACCTCGTTTGGAAGACATTGCGGTAGCGCCTGCTGAGTAACTGGTTGCATAAAAAAAAAGAATCTGAAGGTAAATAACTGCAAGACTTGAAGGTTTGGTCCTTAAATATACCCTGTCTTGATTTCTTTTTTTATTGAAATACAAAGAGCAACGATAAGTGTGTTCAGCTTCAGAAGGGAGGTGACCCTTCGACGTTCGTGGCAAACAGCTAAAATAGGCAATAGCCTTCACAAATTTGAATACAGAAATTGTACAAAAAGAACTACCTTATTCTTTCCCCCGTGTGGATTCGTTCCTTCCACACTATGTGTAAAAAAATTTACTATTTTGTGCTTCACAACTAGGGTAATTCTAAGCAAGGTTCGCCTGAGCGTAAAAAAAAGAACCACTAACAAAAAAACGTGAAATATATAAGGTTGTGGTGAAATTAACTTGATATCCACTCGTGGTGGAAAAAGGGAAATTTACAGGGAATAAAAACTATTGTTGATAATATATATATATCAATAAATAGTAATTCCTTAAATAAAAAGGGATTAAATTTTGTGAGATGGAATAAATGTTAAAAAGTAAAACATTGGGAAGAATAAACCATAAGAGTGTTGACTTACCGCTTTGAAGGTGATCAAAGAATCCTCAAAGGGGAGCAGCATAGTTAAAAGAAAAATGTAAGCTGCGATTACAATAAATGTGGCTTGCATTTATAATGGTGATTTGAGGGGGAATTTGGAATAGAAAAATAATAAAAGCAGAAGGCATTTAAAATATAATTAAACTCACTGTCTACACAGACATAATCTCTGGGAAGTCATTCCGGATATTTCATTTTGCAAAAATGATAAGAGCGCAACATAGCGTGCTCAAAATACAATAGATATATATCAGAAAGAACTCACAGAAACCCCACCCTATGTTTACACTGTCGATCCTATGACAACATAGGATACTTATATTGCAAAAATCACCTCAAACAGCTAAACCATAGCAAGCCTTACTCTAAGAAAAGAAGTTCAAGTGGTCCATCTTCCTTCTTCATTCCCTGCAAACCCACCTCATTAATCAATCCGAGTTTGATTAAATACTGAGGTTGCTGCTGACATTGCAAAGAATTCCTTTTCCTAAACCTCCGTCAGCACCCTTCGACAATGGTCCTCAAGCGGCTGATTTGATGAAATATAAGGGCATGTAAAGTTAAGAAAATGTGATGGTTTTGTACTAGGATCTGGATATCAAAGAATACTTTTCCGATTATAAAAACATTAGTCGACCTAAAATGTAGGCTTCATTGTATGTGCACAAGTAAAAAATAATAATACTAATAATAATAGCATCAAAAGGAAGTGCATTAGAGAAGAAGTGTAACCACGTAGAATGTAGAGTTAATAGCTGTTTATTTTACTCTTTCCCCCAATTTCTTCACTTTCTACCTCTATAGCAGCCGTGTATGTTTTGGGTCTGAGCCATGTGATCCACTAAGAATAACAATATTAACGTTTCTTTTAATAATTAAATTTGTTAATACTTTAATAGTTAAAATTATGTTATAAAAAATATATATACTAGCGAAAGTGTTTAACATAGTAGAAATAGGGGAGTCGATCCCATCCATCCAGTCGTATCGAAAAACAGCAAACCACAAAAAACAAATGCTATAAATGACCCACACTTTCTTATAGATATAAATAGATAGATGTATATAATGCGAATTGCCCCTCCCTACATGCAAAGAACGCCGGAGCTTCGGAGGGCCTCTTGCTGATCCCCGTCCAACTCCGCCACCGCGCAGGCCTGCTGCCACGCCTGAGGTTGGCGCGCGATAAAACTCCGCACGCCCGCCTGGAGGAGGGTGGCCTTCTCCGCCTCGTCGACGCCGCGGGCGGCGACGACCCGCGCGATGCAGCCCACCATCCCCGGCAGCCAGGCCGCCCGGGCCGTCCCCTCGGCCTCCGCCGAGAGCAAAAAGACCAGCGTCGCGAGCGCGTTCGCGTTCTCCGCCTTTTCCAGCCGCATGGGGATCAGCGGGAGAAGACTGGGCAGGATTTCCTCCCGCGGGACCACCCCGGGCGGGAGGCACCGCACGAGGCTGCAGGCCGCGCTCACGGCGTTGTCCACCGCCTGCGGGATCTCCGCCACGGCGCCGCCGGAGACGACCTCCCACAGCGCCCGCAACGTCTCCTCCACCATCGACAACGACGACGACGACGACGAGAAGGACGAAAAGGACGCGGAGGACTCCCCCAGCGGCTCCAAAAAGCGCTCGGGGCAGCTTTCCACCAGGACGCGGAGGAGGTAGCAGCTATTGCCCCGCGCGGCGGAGTCGTCGGAGCCGCGCAGGACGCCAAACGCGAGGGCCCGCGCGGCCTCGAAGTGCGCCCCGGCGGCCCCCGCCCCGAGGGCGAGCAGAAGCCCCGCAAAAGACCCCGTCGCCATCACGAGATCCTCCGCGGGGCGCCGCTGCGGGTCCCCGTAAAGCCCCAAAAGCGGAAAAAGATACGCCGCGTAGGGCAAAAACGCCCCGCCGTAGGCCCCCGCGAGGGCCTCCAACACCTCCACAATCGCATCCAGCGCCTCGTTGTGGTCCTCGGGCAAATAAACCCCGCGGAGGACGTCTTGGGGGGAAATCACCTCGCGCCAGGACGACGTCCCCGCCGGGGCGTCGTCGACCGCGCGGAAAAGTTCATCGCCGTCGTCGTCGGGGTCCTCGCTGCTCGTCGACGACGCGTCCTCGTCGGCGAGCAGGCAGGCCTTGCGCTGGCGAAGCCCCTCCACGCACTCCCGCACCAGCGCGTCCGGGCCGAAGGGGAAACATTGCGGGCCGAAAAACTTCACCACCCCCTCCATCGCCTCGCAGGCGGCGATGAAAACCTCCTTCTCGGGCTCCTCCTGCATCGTCCGCAGGAGGACGTGGTGGACGAAGTCGTTGAGAAGGCCCCGCGTTCGCGGCGAGAGGGTGTCCTCGGTCTGCGAGGGCACCACCTCGGCCCCGCCATGCGAGGCCCGGAGCAGCTTCGCCCCGGCCACCATCGCGTTCCCGCGCACGTTGGGGTGGAAATGGCCCTCCAGGGGGGATAGCCCGTCCCAACAACGCCCCACCCGGGACTCCCCGAACTCCCCGCGCAGGACCTCCGCAAAGACGCCGATGCAATACAGCGCGGAGGACTTTTCCTCGATGTCGGCGGTGCGCACCCGCATGTGGATCTCCTCCGCGGCGTCCGCCTCCTCCTCCTCGTCTTCGGCTTCCTCCTCGCCGCTTTTCACTTCATCGTCCGCCGGGTGGCCATGAGAATTCAAACCCCCGCGGTTTTCAAAATCATCCTCGAGCACCAACGGCATATCCCCCTTCGCCAAAGGATGGCGATTGGTGTAGATGGCGGTATCCTCCTCAATCGCGTGCAGGGCGGCCGCGAGGGCGTCGTCGAGGTAGGGCATAAAATCCCCCTGCAGGATCTCGCAGAGGTTGCTCAAAAACCCAAAACTATGTTCCCGCAGGACGGCGCTGCCCAGCGAGAGGTTCTCGCGAATTCGCGGCATAAAGAGCTCGACGTAGGGCGCAAAGGCCGCCTTTCCCATCGCGGCGCCGACGATGCCGGCCGTTTCCGTGGCCTGGGCCCTCAACGCGAGGGTCGCCGGCGCCGTCTGCGCGAGGGGCTGCTGAAAAAGCTCTAAAAGCGGCCCCGCGAAGGGCAAAAACGCCGGACACTTCGTCGCCGCAATCGAAGAAATCACGCCGCAGAGCGCCGTTTGCGTTTCTAAGGAAACCCCACCGCTATTATGGGGATCATTGGTGTTATGATGAAGGGCCCCAACAATCACCGGCATGAGCTCCACAACGTAGGGCTCGAGCTCCTCCTCGAGGTTCTCACAGAGGGTGTCCAAGGCCTCGGCAAGACGACGCCGCACGAGGTCCCCGCTTTCCTTCGCTAACAAATCGCGCAAAAGGGGAATTAACAGCGAGTGATGGGTTAAAATCTCTGGCTGAAGGTGCTCCGCGAAGTATCGGAGCGCAAAAGCGGCGGCCTCGCGCGGGGTGGCGTCCTCGTCGGCGAGAAATCGACAAGCGAGGTCGAGCACGGTCCCAACCCGTCGGCGGAGAAAAGCCGGACTGCCCTCCGCCAGCGCCGCCATCGCCAACGCACAGGCCTTCCGCTCAAACGGATGAGTCGGTTGGCTATTATTAGTATTGTTAGAGGAATCGGAAATCGCGGAAATAAAGGGAAGAAGGGCAGCGGTGAAGGGCTTTGACGGGATTTTATCGGCTAAACCACTGAGCAAATAGCCGCCTATCATGCAGGGGGAGCGGGCGGCCTCCATGTCGTCCTCATCCTCATCATCGTCCATGTCATTGTTAGGATCCTTATCATCCTCATCGGGGTCGTCAAGATTATTCTCCGGCAGCGCGATCGTGGCGTCCTCGGCCATCATCCGAACGCACGCGTCCACGAGAGGCTGGAGAAGATTGTGCGAAACGACGAATTTCGGCCTCCGCGCGGCGAGCTCCTCAAGGGCAATCCCGCAGCCATCCCGCACGCTGGCCGTCGTCGACCGGTCCTCCATCACCGCCAGCAGCCCGCGGGCGAGCTCCACCAGCTGTCCCGCGTTTTTCTTCGGCGAAAGCGCCTCGGTGACGACCTCGAGAAGCTCAAACAGGCCGCGGCAAAGCGAAGCCCGCGTGGGATCCCGCGCGTTGGCCTGCAAAAGCCCCACCGTGAGAGGGAGGAGCTCGCGCAGGAGTCCCCCGTGGGCCGCCGCGTCGTCCTCGAGCGAGGGCAGCAGGGCGACGGCGGCCTTCACCGCGGCCCTCTGCACCCCCGCCTCGGCGTCAGCGAGGCCGCGCAAGACGGCCCCCGCGGCGACCTCGCCGAGCCCTGGCGCGCCCGCAAACACCTCCGCGAGGCTGTGGACGAGGACCATCGCGAGCTCGCGCATGTCCGCCCGCGCGTCCCCCGTGGCGGCGGCGTGGATGGCCCCCGCGAGTTCCCCCCACCTCCCGTCCGCCTTCGCCAAGCGCCCGACGACGTGCGCGAGGGCGAGCCGCACGGCCCGCACGGGCTCCTCGCCCAGCCGCCGCAGCACCACCGCCTTCAGCGCCGTTCGCTCGGATGCGTCGAGAACGGCCCAAAAGGAAAAGATCCGCTTTCGCAGGAGCACCGCGGCGAGCTGACGGACTCCGGCGGAGGGGCCCTCCCCTTCGCCCTCCCCGCAAAGCAGCCGGACCAGCCCCGGGAGGTTTGCCCTGTTCCCGAGCGCGAGGACAACGGCGGCCTCGGCCCCCCGCCGCTCCTCCGCCTCCGTGGCATGGAGGATGCTGTTTAAAAGGCCCGCCAGCTCCGCGTCTGGGAGAAGGGGGGGGAGGTTCGGCTTAAAAGAGGGGGTCGCCATCGCACTCAAAGTCAAGCTGAACTGTGGTGTAACAAAATTAGAGTGAACTGTGGTGCAACAGAGTTAAAGTGAACTGTGCTGCAACAAAGTCGGAGTTTAATCCACGTCAATAATACAAAACTAGTCTGTCACACACACACAGAGAAGGGGGAATTTCTGAAGAAAAGGAAACAAAAAAGAGAGATCGTGCGATTGGATGTAACTCGCACGCTATCGTGTGAAAAAGGGGGGAGTAGAGGGGAGGAAAAAGAAGATCAATGGTTCAGACTTTTTGTGAGGTCTGAATTTTGGGAATTAGACTACTACTACTACTACTATTAAGATTATTTATAGATCCTAAATATTTAATCGTACCCTTTTTTAGATGCTTCTAGAATAAAAAGAAAGATATAAAACGACATTTTATGAAAAGGGATGCGAAGCAATCAACAAAAACACCACTACTATTATTATTATTGTATTCTGATATCGAATATGAAGGTGGACCTTTTCTATTGTTTTTGTTGTCCTTGGACTCGTAGACAATGGAATCCCTCTCTGGTATATACATTACAAAATATTGTATTCAACAATTGTCATCCCCTCAATTCTTTCCGCTCCTTTTTTTTTGTATTCTTTGTATTACTTCATTTATGTCTATTTCCATTTTTTTTTTCGTTAATAGAGGGCGGTTTTCTTCATAAGCCGGAGGAACTCGTCCTCATCAATCTCACCATCGCCATTGCGGTCGGCCTCGTCTATCATCTCCTGGAGCTCTGTGTCGGTCATGTTCTCCCCGAGTTCCATCGCCACTCGCTTGAGGTTCTTAAACGTGATCTTGCCGGTCTCATCGTCGTCGAACATGCGAAAAGCCATGATCATCTCCTCCCGTGGGTCCCGCTTCATCATTTTCTTCGACATAATATGCAAAAACTGTGGGTAGGTGATCACATCGAGGTTGAACTCCTTTTCCTCATCCAAAGGCCTCCCGGAGGATGCGGAGGAGGGTTTTCCTTGCAGGTTAAAATCGGAAAGGAGCTCCAGCAGCTCCTCGTTCCGCGGCTCGAAGCCAAGGGCGCGCATGGTGACTTTGAGTTCCTTCGAGTCGATGGTCCCGCTGCCGTCGGTGTCGAAAAGTTCAAAGGTCTCGCGGATCTCCTCCTGCTGATCCTCGGTGAGGACGATCTCGGTGGAATCCAAAGGGGCTGAAGTGGCCCCAGTCCCCGCCGCGTTGCCCCCAACAGAAGCACTTCCAGGCTGCATTAGAGATAATATGATGGGATATTTATTCAGATAAATCAATAAATATAGATTTAAATATATATATATATATATATATATGTATCCTTAGCAGTTGCTGTGTTCTTTTGTGAAATAATAATAAAGGGAAGGGATTCCCTGGAAAGACAATGAATTGAATACAGAAATCCATAAAAAATAGAAAAAAAAGGAAAAGGAGGAGTGAAGTGGAGTGGAGTAATAATAAAAAAAGAATAAATGCATAAGCAATTGTGTGGTTTCTGTCTTTCTTTGGACCCCTCCTATATATCCAGAACTTTTGCATGACAACCCAGATGATGTTTAATGTTTACACTTTTCCTGCACGGTCTTTCTCAAATTTAACACATCTTTTGAAGCATTAAATTTAGAATAAACCTTTCAAAGGTCTAATGCAATGTGTTCTTTAAATATATACTCTTTGTTAGGGGTCATTTGTGGATTTATTGGGGTTTATTTCTGACTCCGCCCTTTACACATTCACTTTTCTTTTAGGTGAGGAAGATTATTTATGGCCTTCCCGTGGTGGTGCCTCCCCGCTACGCCCGACCTCTCCGCCTAGCCTCAGGGTACCCCTCCGGTTTCATTTTCATTCGCGTCCTGCGCACAATTCGAATCACTCCTCCTCCCCCCCCCCCACACACACACCCACTCGCACCGATTGAACATCGCAAAAATAATAAAAAAGAGTTAATCGTCGCGGCTGCGTTTTGCCGATCGGGCGGGGAGCAATCCCCTCTCCGAGAGGTCGGCGGCGGCCTCCGCGAGGCGGCCGCGGCGCCCGACCATCCCCGCATCGACGTGAAGGATGCGGGAGAGAAGCGTTGGCCGCCGCGCGAGGTCAGCGGTGGCCGGGGAGAGCTCCGCCGCCCCCTTTTCCCCCGCCCCCATCCCCGCCGTCAGGGCCGAGTAGGCGTGGGTGAAGAGCGAGGCCACGACGTGGTAGAGCCGCAGCGAGCTCGCGGCGTTGTTCGCGAGGTTGCCAGGGTCCTCAATCCAGGCCTGGGCGGAAAACGAAGCGGAGGGGGGGGACGGGGGAAAAGGGCTGCGTGGGGAAGTCGGGGACCCCTCCCCTCCCTCGCGGGAAAAGAACCCCCGTCCAGCCTCCACCGACACCCCGCAGTGGTGGTAATTCCAATACAGCCCGTAAAACCGAAAGAAGTCCACGAGAAGCCGCCCGAGTCCACTAACGGCCCGCTCGTCAGGTCGGGTGGTGTAGATCGGGTGGGACTGCAGGAAGGCGACGACGAGCAGCGTCGTGGCGTAGGAGCCGAGCCCCCCGCGGTACGGCTCCGCCATATCCCGCTGCTGAAGAAAGTACTTTACCACGATAATCAACGCGCGGGCCTCGGGGAAGCTTTTGAGCAGGGTGTGCACGATATCGGAGTTCTGCTTCCCATCCCCCGCGTTGATGCTGATATCCACATCCACCAAAGAGCCCTTGTGCTGGAACTTCACCAGAGGGACTTTGGTTTTTAGGATCAGCTGCGGGTAGGCCGCATCGCAGAGCCCGGCCTGGCTAATCTCCCGCGCGAGAAGCGTCAACGCCTCCTCGGGCGGGATCGGGACATTCGTGATCGTGATATCCACATCGGAAAGAGGAAGCAGAAGATTCGTGTAGAGGCTGCCATACACAATCGGCTCACAGCCCGGCCACAGCCGCCGCGCGAGTTGGGAGACTTCCATCTCGATAAGCCGGCGAATCGAAATCTCCGCCTGAGTTGGGCATAAATAATCAACTAAATCGGTGATCTCTTGGTGAAGCGCAACGAGCGGGCTCTCCTGGCAATAACCCCCTTCTTTTTCCATCCGCGATACGCTCCACAGGGGAACCATCCGACGGGAAGGCGGCGATTGCATGCAATCCTTTCCACTTTGAACCGATGACAACGACGATGGCGACTGGGCGTTTCTTGAATTTTTACCCTTGGGGCTCATCGTGCCACGATCGGGAAATCCCCGCGAGGACCCAGGGCCATTATTATGAACAATATTATTATTAGTAGTAGTAGTAGTGGTGTTAGTATTATCATGGATTTGATTCGTGGGATTATCCTCCGATGGATAAATCAACACCGACGCCTGAAGCTGGTCCACCGTCAGGCCGGCGATCATCCCGATCCCCCCCGCACCCTTCTGCGTGGAGGACGTCGAAAAGACTAAATAATCACCCCGTATGCCACTCTCCATGGCCGTATCATCCCCTTTGGAACCCAACTTATTACTAGAAAGATTGGCATCCTCAGAAGGGCCCTTAGCGCCACCTTCATTGTGTTTCTGACGTTGCTTTGAAACCTTTGGCGTTTCCGGATGGTACTCCTCATCACTGATATCCTCTTTGTTATTTTCTAACGACGCCGCGCTTTCCTTCTTATTCAATTCCTCCGTCCTCGTATTCCGGGTGAAATCTATCCTGCGTTGACTTTGCTTCAACTTGCCCAAGAGCTCCTCACTGATAGGAGGCTTGCCAGAATCCAGAGGAAGGTCGTCCTCTAGCAGGAGCCATTTCTCCTCGAAATCAGAGTTGTGATTTTGAAATCGCGAAAAAATATCCAACGATGATACCGCCGTCGTAGTCTTTCCTTTTCCGGCCCCTCGTTTGGGAGAAGGGCGCCGCGATGAAGACGGGGAAGACGATAGCAAAGGCGAAGAGGATCCCACGGGAGGAATCGACTCAATTCCCCCGGCTACGACTTCCTCACGGCGCAAGACATTAGAAGGCTCAGCATCCAGAAGAATTACCTCCTTGGTGGAACTCACCACACGGCCACCTTTGCGCCTCATTAGGCGTTCTATAAGAAGATAACGTGAACCACGACACCAAAGAAAATATATTCAGCGTCCTGTTTAGGAAGAAATGACTTGATTTTGCGTTTTCACCCACAAGCGGTGCCACGTAACTGGAAAAAAATGCTTGTCTAATTACAAATAAATGAATGTAATGTAGGCTATATATATAGTTAGGTATGTTTCAGTTTATTTTATAGTTATTTTGAAGAACCCTTTAAGTTCACTAGTTTCACTATCTTGTTTCTTGATTTTCAGGTAGTTAAACCCCTTTTTCTAGTTAAATAAAAAAATTAAACCCTAAAACGGAACCACTATTTGAATTCATTGGAAAGACGAACTATCACCAATTAAAACACTAATAGACATTATAACACACTCATATTGGACCTTAAAAAGCTGAAATGGTTACATTGCTTTTGGATCTACTGTGCATGTTTCTTGAGATACAACTTCACAAATATATACTCTCAGGTTGTCTTCCGTACCGTGTATACGGTTAGTTCACGAAAAAACCCTAAGATTCTCGTATCCCTTGCACTTTGAGGATGAAAATCCTGAAAGGGCTCTTGATGTTAGTCGTCAATAATGCTTGGTACTCCACAACTTAGCACCACTCATGTTAGTATACCTCCCCAAGAACGTTATAAAGAACCTAGGTTTAATGTAAGCACTGACAGGGTAAAAAAAACGTCTCTACATTCCGTTAAGACTACTTTTGTGTACAGCCTTTTCACCTTTCCCTAATATATCGGACCTCTTAGACACCATGCCTTATGTACTATGTTGAACGGATAATTATTCCTCCTTTCACCGAATGGATTGCGAGTGTTTTGCCCTTTTGTCATTCTCTGAGTTGCGCAGTGTGCCTATCTGCCTCCTTTCCGATTATTGAAAGAATCCTTGTTTAGAATCTCTTTGAGAAGTGTGTGGCCACGCATGATGACATTCCACGATGTTTCCAAAGGAATTGAGAGGATAAAATATCCTTTAAGATCAAGAAAAAAGAAACAATAAATATTTCAAGGTTAGTTTTTGTGTGTTGAAATCATCGGCCATATTAAATGGATATTAAAGTACACTCGGGAACAAATAAAATTCATTCAAGAGATAAAATTTTTTTAATTGGCTAGCTCTTGCCTAAGTAGTAAATTAAGGAAAAAAATATAAAGATATTATGAGAAGCAAAAAAAAATGACAACATACCATTCTCCTTTACCTTTTGTTATGGTCTCTCTTTATACAAGATTAAGCAGTGCAAAATACTCAGGGTACACATCCTTTGTGTACACCTCCTTTTTTCATTTTGCCCCTTAAGCTTCTAATTTATCCTGTAAATTGCATATTGTACCTTCTCGTCGCATGAAAATGCATACTAATGCATGCAAATCAACAACTAAAAGGAATAGGTTAGTAAAGAAAGAAAAAGAAAAAGTAAACTATCCAGGTGTCTGTCCTTTACTTCATATTTTACATGTATCCTGTGAACTCAAGTTCTTGTGAAAATTTCAATTGATTAATTCAAGTAAGTTTTAGAAACAGTTATTAATATAATATATAAATATATATATTTATATAAAATACAATCAAAGGGTTATAATAAATTGCTAGAGGAAATGGTTATTATATCAAACATTAATATCCCTAAGTGAACAATTAAAAGCAAAGTAGCGAATTGAATTGAGATTCAATCCAATAAAACGGTATCTTTGCTAGGATGGTACACATTTCAATAGATACATGCGACATATGTACGAAACATATAATACATGTAAAAGTAATCACATTATGTGGCTAAAGAAGTACTAAATCTATTGAAAATGTATGCAATAAAAAAAAAAGAAAAAAGACTACAATAGGAAAAAGATCAAACCCACAAATCTCCTTTGTTTGCAGTCCCTACCGTATGGTAATTATTTTGGGAGAGTGAACTAACAAAACACTTACTTACCCCTCCAAAAATGACAACATATATAAACAACACACTCCATTTTCTCGCACTAGGTGCTTAGACAAAGTTCAGTCTTTAAATATATCTTTCAATTTTTTGAATATGCTTCCTTCATGATTAACGAAACAATTTTGTAATAGGGTAAAATCCAATGTCACCAATCCAGTCTCTCACAATATTTCAACCACATTTTTTTTTATTTAACCAGCTAATTTACAAAGTGATAAAAGGATGCCGTAGCAACTCCTCTGCCGAAGGCCTATTCTCGGGGTTGAGTTGAACACAACTCCTCACGAAGTCCTCGAAAGCGACGTAGAGCCGCATCAGTCTCCGTTCCTTTCGGTTGACCGCCTCGGAAGTGTCGTGAAGAAGGTGCGGCCCATGAGGTGTCGATCCCTCCTCGGCGGCGGGCACCGACTCACCCCCCTTCTCCGCTGCCTCGTCTCCGCTCCCCTCCTTGCCCACTCGTTCAACCCGACAGACCTGCCGAAGCGGGGAGGTCATGGCGGCCTCCGGTACGGCGGCAGCGGAGGTGGAAGGCCTCACCCCTGCTGTTGGCCTGTTACAACGTGGCCTGCGGGGCCGTGCTGCTGTGGTCCCTTGTGACACAACGGGAGGTTGCGCCCCTGCCGTTGGCCTGTTACGTGGCCTGCGGGGTTGTGCTGCCGCGGTCTCCTGTGACACAGCGGAAGGCCCTCGCTGGCACCCCCGACGCCTGCCATCCCGCAGCCAACGCCTGGCCTCGGAGGCCCAACCGGTCACGAGCGGTGGCAGCGGCAGCTCCGTCCGAGACGAACCCACGCAGAAGAGCACGCGCAGTTTGTCCCGCGCGAGGTGGCGCCACGGCGTGCAGCCCGTCGCCATCTCCAGCGCGACACAACCGAGGGACCAAATGTCCGACGGGGCCCCAATCCGCGCGCGCTCAAAGCGGATCATCTCCGGCGCCATGTACAGCGCGGTGCCGCGGAGCTCCGTGAAGGACTCGTCCAGGCAGGCCGATCCTGAGGGCGTTTTCTTGCCACCCCACGCCGCGGACGACGACCCTCGGTTGGACAAACGCACCGCACAGCCCAGGTCCGCCAAACGGCACTCCCGCGTGGTGGTCATGAGGAGGTTGGCCGTTTTGATGTCCATGTGCGCGTAGCCGTGAGAGTGCATAAAGTGCACCGCCTGCAAGACGTCCTTCAGACAGCGCTGGACCTGGCTGATGGAGAGTGGCGTCATCTGCGGCTGTAGGGCCTCGTCGAGGGACCACAGGTTCGCCGCGGAGGGCAAATCCATCGCGAGTTCAAAAGACGCGTCGACGCCAGAATGGAGGAAAGATGACGCGCAGGAAGAGGCGCCGCTGTCGGACTCCAACTCCTCTGACAAAACCTCGTGGAGCTCCTCTAGTGGATCGCTCGGCTTCCCGAAACCTGTCGAGGTCGACGACAACGACGCGGCATAACGCACGATCGCAGCGAGTGGCGGTGGCGACATGGTTGAGTCAAGCGACTTGACCTCGGTGGCCTCCCAAACCCCTTGGTCTTCACTGTTCCCGGCGGCCATGAAGTCCAGAAGCGACTTGTGTGGGCAGTACTCCAAAAACATGAAAACAGAGTGGCCGAACTTTTGCGCCCCGTAAAAGGGAACGATCGAACGCATTGAACAGTTCGCTGCCAACGTAAGAACATCAATCTCGAGCTTGAGTTGTTGGAGCCGCTGCTGGAGTCTGGGGTCTTTGGCGTTGAAAACAATTTGCTTCGCGGCAAACACCTTCCCAGACTCGGGGTCGACGCACTTGAAGACCTTCCCACACATACCACCACCGATAAAGGGACCAAACACCATCCGGTCCCAACGGTACGTGGTCCCCTGCCCCCACGTGTCGTTCGGGGGCTCCGTGGGCAGAATCAAAAGACCGAAGGATTTGGATAGCTTCGCGGGAAGCTTGTCGGAAGCCCCTGGGGGCCTTGTCTCGGCAAGAAGGCCCGGACATTGGCAGAACTGCGTGTGGTTGAGACCATCATCGCCTTCAAAACCGTCAACGTCGTCCTCCTCAGCTGATTTAGTGCTCGCTACGTCCACCACCATCGGCGGTGATCCTTCCCTTTCGTTCGTGAAGGGGGTGACGCTCAGCCCTTGAAAGGCGCCCAGTGTGGTGGAAAACCCACCCAATGGCGCTCTGGGGTTCTCCTCACCCACCATCCCCGGGCCAGGTAAATTCGTGATGGTAATTCGGCTGCAATTTCCTAACGTGGCGTTGTGGTGAAATAATACAAAAGAGCAGTTGGTCCCTTCCTTAAAGGAGTTCCAGACGAGGAGATCGCTGACGTAGAGGTACGACAGCGGTAGCGCCTTGTCCTCGGTGGATGAAAGGTTAGGAATCTTGTAATTCTGGATTAGCCCCATCCCGTGGAATTGTCCCACCATCCCCGAAGTCATATGCCTGGGGTGGCCAATTACTAGACGCTCTTTAGGCTTAAGTGAAGAGCCAACATAGGTGGTGTTGCTTTTATCCAAAGTGCAAAGGCATTTATCGAAAATATCATTACAATGTTTACAGACTCGATCAATCAATGGGTCCTTCTCTAATCGCCCACAACACAAAATTGGTGATTCCCCCATGCGATTGCATGTGCCCAATATCTTTTCCTTATGGGTCGTCTGAGATCCTATCGAGCTACTCAACACGCCGTCAAAAAGCCTCAACGATGAGGAAGACAAAGTCCGCTGTGGTTGGCCTTCTTCGTTGCTAAAATGATTGCCCACCTCGGCGACAGTCTCATGGCGCAAGCTAGAATGGGTTCCTAAGGTGAGCAAGTCCCCAAACGCACTAGATTGAATTTGCTCAAGATTTCTAAGATCCTGAGTCCTCTGGGATTGGATACTATAGTTGCACTTGGAGGACCGTGAAGAACACGAGCTTGTTCGTCTTAACAGGGAACCGGCATCCTGGTAGGTGGAAGCTGTGGAACGAGAAGAAAGGAGCTCCGACACCAAATGTTCCTCATTACGTAAAACCTTGCGCGAACTCGAGATCGATGAATGTTCGTGGTTGTCGTAGTGAAGCTTCGGCATGTTGCCATGCATACTTACCCCCATCCTCGCGCTATTTTCCGCGGGAATAATTTTCTCGCTGCTCAACAGACTACCCTTTCCCCCCAAGGCGGGCGAGAAGGTCTCAGCATCCTGCAGTTCCTTAAGCAGCAAATTTCCCACTCTTCTCATCCCGAATTGATTCCCCGCCCTGGGCGCGAGATTCCACTCCGGCGAGAAGTTTAGCGATAGCTCGGATGAAGTTGACATGGTATCGTAATCCCTCTGGCTCGAAAAGGCGAACTCGCTGTCGACATCCCTGTCTAAATCATTCAAATACCGCGTTCGCAGCGTCAAATGGCGCGGTTGGTTGCAATCCTGCAGTTTCTCCCCGTCCCATGCGCAGGATTGTTCGGTGGGGACATTCGAAAAAAACTCATCGCTGCTGGTGAGATTAGGGGGGTTGAAAAGGGTCGTGGGGACGTCGTTCGGTAATGGCAACTCCATCACGTCCTCTGGTGCGATCGCGAAGGATGATACCAAAGGATTCACATCCACGAAGTCGGAATAATCCCCAAGACAAGAATGCAATTTTAACAACTGGGGGTCAACGGAAGGACCTGAACGAGAAAAGTGGGCCATCGCGCTATTCACTGGTTGTGATTCGCCATCCCAGCCGTCATTGTGGTCCTTTTCCTCCATCCCGGTGGTGATACTCGCGGTCATACAAGCGGTCCCGGTTTCCTGGAATAACGCTCGCGCGCCGTCGCCTCGACGTTTTTTCGCCCCAGCCGAGGTGAGTTTGCCCTTGTCCATCAGCCCATAAACGCGCTCCCAGCCGTGCGCACCGCTGGGAAGACCCACCTTCGAAAGTCTGTCAAGGTCGTACGGCATCAACGTGAATGGCCTCGCATCCCCGGCGGTACCAGGGGTGGTGGAGCGATCGCGGCTTTTGCAAATGTAAATCCGATAGGTAATCATCCAAGCCGTGGCCGTCGCCATCGCAAGACTCATCACAACCCCGATCCTATGCGAGACGAGGCCCGATAAAAACCCTTTGCCGGCGGACGGCACGACGGGCTCGCTGACACCGGTGGCGTCCATCAAGGATGACGAGGGTTCTATATCATCAAGAACTTCCATACATGGATACGCCATGTTAAGATTATCCTGTAGTATGTGCTTTTTTTTTCAAAAGGACCAACCTAAAGGAAGAAAAAACAATCAACTATAAATAATTCCTTATCATGCGTATAGTTCCGGCTCCTATGTAAAAAATCCAAGGAAACAATGATCACCTTAAATTTTAAGGACAACTCAACCGTATATATATATGTATATACTAAAGTGTATATGGGTGCGTAAAACCTGTGTGGGTTCCAACCTTATTAGTTGGTACTATTTATTTGAAGTCTTCCTTGCCCTTTAGATCCACACTTTGAGTTATGCTCTATTATGAATATCTTTGACTGGGGTTGTGTGCAACTATTGTTTCAAGTTTACTCAACACGGAAAAAATTCAGTTTTATTCTTAGTGTGGTTCTAGAATTATTCAGGCTAAGAGAAAGAAGACACAAAATTCTTGTGGGATGTAGAATTAAATAGAAGTAAATGAATTTGAAAACTGCAAACCGAGCTACAAAAACAAAAAACTTTCGACCTTATAGGTAAAAGAACTTTGTGTGAGTGATAATTTTAAAAAAATCACTAAATAGAATAAGTGTAATATGAATTACGATAATAATAGTATTGTATAACTAAGAGACCGGAAAAATAAATAAAGGTCATACGAAAATATTCAATGAAAAACTCCAACTCCCTAAAAAGCTTCCTCTAATTTGTTTAATACGTCTTAACTATATTTATATTGATTTATATATCATATACAATTATGGCAATAAATACCTATTATATGATTAATTTCAAATGTATATATCTACCCCTTTCTAGTCGAAAGTTTCCCTTTTGAAAAGAAATAACGTGAAACATGCCAAAGAAAAAAAGGAAGAAAAATGGAGTCAGTTTTTGCCATAAAATCACTTTCGCAGCTCCCAATGCACGCTCCATAATCGGGCGTGTATTATCATTTAAATTCTGGTTATATTTTTTTTAAAGTACGGATTGACATATTCTCCGTTCAAAATAAAAAACAAAGATGCCTCTCACATATCTTTTCGCCTTCCTTGATCACCTTTCCTACCTGTGCTTCGTGAGCTAGGAACGACCCCCCTTCTCTTCATTTTTTTCCTGTTAAAAAAAAATGAAAGGAAAAGGGGTTACGTAGGGCCTTTGATTGGGGTTTATTCGTCGTCGTCGCCACCACCGGCGGCGGCGCGTTTGCTGGCCTTCGCGCGCACGCGTCGGACGCGGCCTGGGCGGCCATTCCCGAACGGCGATGCGTCGGCAAACGCGATGTGCCGTTCACTGCTCCCCCGCACAATAAAAGACGGGATCGTCACGATCTGCTTGGCAACCGAAATATGGCGCTGTTTGATGAGCACCCGCGCGTGGTGGACGGACTTCGCGAGCCCGGCTTTGAAGACGATCGTCTGCAGACGGCGCTCCAAAATATCCGGGACGGTAAGGGACAGCACGTAATCGAGCTTGTCCTTCTCCTCGTCGAGGAAGCCGTAGTCATGGCAGCGGCGCATGATGGCGGCGCCTTCCAGCAGTCGTCGGGGGTGGTTTTCCGGCAAGGTCAGTAACAACCGCGCCGTCCGACGCATCTTCGACAAGGTCATGTTCACCCGCCAGATCTCCCGCTTGCAGCGCAGGCCGTACTGCCCGCAGAGCTTCATCTCACGGTCCAGACGCTCCTTCTCGAACGGGCGGCGCGGCGCCTTCCACACGCGGTTGAAGTTGTTGTAGTTTCGCATAACGTCACCTGTGTTGGCGTGATCTACGTAAAGGTTAACGAAAAAGGAAAAGCTTTGAGTCAAAATAAAAATAATAAAGAAGAACAAAAGGGAAGAATATGAAAAAATTAGGTCAATGATCCTCCCCCTCCCTATAAGCGTATTCCTGATACTCTTCAGAGTTCATCTGTAAGAATAAAAAATCACAACGCCATAAAAAGGGAAAGCAAACTTCACAGATTGCACACTAAGAAATGGAATAGGAAGGTCGATGTAAAAAAAAAAAATAGAACCCGTTGTAAAAAAAATCACATGAAGCATTTTGAAATAGGTTCAACCGAAATATATATATTCAACTCTTTAACAATACCCAGATTCATACAGAAAGAGTGCCACAGCAGCGAGAGGGACGGTAACTAATCTGCTTCAGATAAAAAGAAAAGCACATTGATTTTTTCTGAAACCTTATGATTTGCTTAGAACGATAAATTGTCACACCTAGGAAGGCAAAATGACTATGCTTAAAAAATTTGATGCCTCAAGATTCTGTAATGATTATATCCACGTATGTGGCGTCGGTGGGCAACATTCTATAAGGCTACTAGAGCTGCCGTCCTCTACCATTTTATTTCTCTACTTTCGTATGAACTTAAGCCAGACAATTAAGACGATTAACGCCAACAACGCCACAATCACGCAACCCTTTGTTAACCACTCCTTGTAGATACCCATGCGGATACTTCGAATTACCGCCTGTGATTCCATAAGGTTCCCCTGAGTTTCCCCCACAGAGTCAATGGTGTTCTGCAGGATATCGCGCTGCTTCCCTAAAGAATTAATTGTCGTGTAGCCAGTGGCGTTTGTAGATTCGCTTATACGCAGTGCGCGGCGAATATTGTCGGTCGATTGCTGCGTAGTATCAGTTGGAAAAGGGCTTGGAAACCGTGTAAAGTCACCACCGGCGGGTTGTCTGGTGTTTTGTGTCGATTGGTAGCCCTTGCCGCCTATAGGAGGAGGAGGCCCTCCAGCTGTCACCCCGCCGCCCGTGGAGGTTTTCATTTTGTCGATTAAATCTCCCTCTCTTTTGTTCATTCGTCTAGACGCATCCGTGAGATTAGAGGACATTCGAATATATTCCTTTGTATGTGTGCGGACAAGTGTGAACGTGTGACGGTATGGTCACTCCCTAAAACGTTGGTAATTAAAACGGCGTTTTCCTATATAAAACTAAAAGATGATTGAGGAATAAAAATCGTACCACTTGCACAAATTTTTTTGAGGTTTAAAAGTATACACACATCTATAATTTACTTCAATTAATTTAAGAATCGATAGAAAACATAGTCATAATCCTAGTAATAAAAAAAACAATGAATTAAATTAAAAAAAAAGGGTGGCTAATAAACAGGAAAGAATGCAAAGGATATTTAAAAAGCACAATATTCTGCAGATCCTAAGGACTATATAAACATTGAAATTCATCAAAAAAATCGTAGCATAGATACAATAATACGAATAATATAATCGGAAAAAAAATCGCATCACTCTGTACTTTCATGTTTATTCGAATTAAATTATTCATAAGACTAGACTGCAAATTTGAGTGATTTATTTTACTCAATATATAAAAAAAACTGTAGTATTTTGTATCTTTACCCTTTTAAAAAATCAGAGGGAAAGACAAAATTACTATTAAACAAATAGCTTTGATAATTCAGGAAGTGAAACAATGGTAAAATATACATTTCGTATACATATATATCTATACATTACGCATCTATAGATATAAAAAACATGGATAATAAGTCAACTATCCAATAAAAAAGGATCAAGATAACATGATTTATCATAATATAAACTATGGATATAAGCGGGTTAGTGTTTGTCTGAACAAAAATCACGTTAGAACCCTAAATGTCTCTTTGCGCCTTTTACCTGCAATACTAATGTTGTTATAATGATCTCATCGCACGTGGTTAAAATGTAACAATGGAAAAAAAAATAACAGGGGGAAAAATGGAAAAGATTCATATCAATAATAGCAACAAAAAAAATTAAGCAAACAAATATTTTTTCTTAACAAGCATACACAAGAATTCAATATTGTGTCTAACCGAAAAGGCAAAAGGGGGGTATGTGCAATTATATTTCAACCCTCTTCGCATTTACTTTTGTCATTTTCAAAAGGAACGAGGGAAAATAATAAATAAAAAAAAATCAAGACGCCCAGTGTACTGTGCGTAGCTTAACTTCCACGTGTAACAATGAGTCTTATTTCATTAGCTTTTGTTTGCAACGTCGCGTGTCCATGTGCTTTCAGTGTCCTGCAGAGACCCTTACTCCCCCTTCTGTTACAGCGCAAACACCGTGCGTAACTCTACAGTAACAACCTAAAAGGGGAGGGGGGGGGTACATTCGCCTTATTTACAGGGAACGTAGTGCAGCCCATAACAGGGCTCATCCACCTCCAGAAGAGGGGGGGTAACGGGGCTTTCACATAGGAGGTTTCCGCCCCTGGCGCCGGGCCGGACGGTTTCCGCTGAGGTTCTCCTGCGAGGTCATCTTCACCACGGACCCCCGCGAAGCGCAGGGGGGGAGGCCCTCCGGCAGGGCTGAGGAAATGGGGAACACCGGGGGGGCGGGCGACTCGTGGGGGTGAAACCGCGCCGACGGGAGGACGAGAAGTTGCCGCGGGTGGTGAAAAGCGGGTCCCGAAGAGGTGGGGAGGGGTCCGCCCGCGCGAGTGGAATTGGACCGCGGGGCCTTCCGCTTCGGTGTGGGGATCTGCTTTGGCCGCTTCAGGTTCGGCGAAGGGTGGTGTGGCGTCTGGAGGTGGGATTTTTTATCCTTGAGTCTCCCGCTCAAAACCTTTCCAGGGTTTTCAAGGCTTCCGTTATCGCGGTGGGCCTCCATGGCGAGGTCCAGCTCACACATATGAGGTAGCGTCAGCTGCGTCCCGGACACATCTAAATAGGGCGAGAGATACACCGTACTTATACTAAGATCTAAAACATTTTTGGGTTTGTTAATAAAACCCAACTTGGTCCTCGAAAACTCCGGACTCTGTATGGAAGAAGCGACAGAGCTCTCCTTGTGATCAACGTCATTACTGTTCTCCCTAGGTTTTTTCGTCAAAGGCGGCGAACTCGGGTCCAGGCCCTTAGTATTTCCCTCCGCAGACGTACTCAACAATGTCCCCCTATTAGGTCGTCGCCGTGAGTGCGTGAGCTCGCTGGCACTCGTACTGCTCTTCTCTGATTCATGGCCGCGGTTGTGGTTTCCCATCATCTGTTGTATCGCCGTCCCTGTAAGAGGAGGGGAGTTCGCTAGTAATACCACCTTGGGTTCGTCAATTGGGATGTCGGACCGTGAGGTTCGTATCGGTAAGGCGCTGATCTGGGAACTCTTCCGTCTGGAGATGGTCGAGATCGGCAATTGTGGGGGTGGAATAATCTCGACGTCCTTCAGGGTTTTCGCTCCCTTCAATCGTACGGATTGCTGGGAAGCATGTTGCCGCGACGTTGTGTTTGCGCAGGTCGTATTTATCTTTTTTATCCGCACTTTGGCCGCCCCGTTGGGCCCGTCGCCATTCATGGGAGGTGCTGGGACCTTGATAGAGGTAGGCGGTGAGGGTAGTACATGCTCAGGGAAGTCCATATGAGGAAGACCTTTTCGCGCCGGGGCGCTGATATTTTTCCCACAACCAGGCGACCCTGTAGCCAAGCGCTGTTCGAGAGCGCTCATTGCCTGCGCAGCGGCGGTTTTTTTAACCTCAATACTCGTCTCCTTCTTGTTCGAGTTCTTCCAATTGGGGGAGAAGCCAGATTGTTTGTGGTTGAGATAGTTCCCTTGCGCGGGGTAGGACTGACCCGTTTGGGTGGCGTACTTCACCCCCCCCTTCTCTCCCATCTGCCTCAAGAAAGATATGGACTTCTCCGGGGTGGCGCCAATCCCCCCCATCAAGGGGTTCTCCATGTTTCTAAATTTCATCGACGAGAGCTTATCCGACCCAACAGCGATCGCCCCCATATCGGGCGCGAGAAAGGCCTCGTGCGGGGTCGTCACCACGTGCTCGGTGACGGAATTCAACAAATACGGGCGCCTGCTGGAGCAGGAGAGAGGGACCCCCTCCATGTTCAATAAGTTCACATTGGAATTATAGAACGACCCGCCCTCCTTTATCGGGCGCCCGGAAAGGGGGTCTACGGGAGGTGAACTCAGCCATACCCCACTCCGTGAATGCAGCCGTAATAAACTACTGCAAAAGGGGGAAGCGATACTTTTCTGGTCGGATGGGACGGACTGCGTCGAGAATACGGACTGGATGGACTTCATAGCGGACTCACTTGTCGGTTTATCGATTAGTTTTACGGGAATCATGTACGAATCGTCTTTGTGGCGGGCTGTCTTGGAAGCTTTGATGTCGTCAGAATGCTCAGAAGTACGCCGCGACTTGGATGCCTCCAAAGGGAACGATTGTCGAGACCTTGAGCGAAACAACTCATTGCCAGAAGTGACAATGTTATCCGACATGTATAACGAACCCCTCTTCGAATCCACTTTATCATCTAACAGGTTCCACTGTGAATTAGAGATTCCATAAATGGACTTCACAGGGGATACCTTGATACTCGAGTTCACCGATAAGGAAGAGACCGAACTCACTCTTCGCCCAAACGACGAATTGGTTGACTTAACCAAGGCGAGCGGGCCACGATCTGCCGACAACTGTGACCCAAGCATCTTTGTGGAACTTATGTGGGAAAGCGTACTTTCTGGGGTTGAACTTGGTAACACCCGAGAATTCGACGCCAACAGGGCGGAGGAGCTATGTTGGTTAGGCATTTGAGGCAGATTAAAAACGTTCTCGGCGAAAACTTCCGTGTTTTTGCGGCCTTGGAGGGCCGAACGGACGTCTTCAATTGTCCTGTGCGCGCCAAACCGTGTCTGAAGCTGATCCAGTATCTCCTGCACAAGAACGGTCGCGTCTTTGCCACCCTGGGAATGGGGACAGTCGGAAATGCAAAAATCTTGTGGTGACGTGATGCGGCTCTGAACTCTTTGATGATAAACCCCAACAATCCTCGTCGGACGGGAGCCCCCGGAGGGTCGACAAAGAAATGACATTGAGGCTTCCTTCTGCGGATTCTCGACAAGCGCGCCGAGACTACTTTCGGGATTATTCATATGGCTGCATTGCTTCAGGTTTATTAGTGCATCCGATGATAACACCCGCTTGGACTGGGGGCTTCCGTGGTTGAGGTTGGGACAGGACTTCCCGCCTCGCCCGGACTCAACGATGTCGAACTCCTTTAAAACAATACTATCGCATTCCTTTCTGGGTACCCCAAAACTAGAATCCACCGGCCCCGTCGTACGAATAGCAATAATGCTAAAGAAGGCGATAAATTCCTCCTTTAGGATAAATGCCCCTCCCGCCTCCTCTTCCTCGCGCATTCGCTTGGCATCGGAAGTAATCTCCACCAATTGACTATTCCGAAGTCGCTCAAACAACCCCGATGATTGCGATGCAAACACCCTCCCAAGCCGCACCATCGCGGCATGCTCAAGTTGAAGGGCCTTCAGATAAGAAAAGGCCCTTTTTCGGATGCAGTGAAAAAGAATATTAATCCTTTCATCGGATATAGGGCTCAAAATCACACTGTTGAGGAAGCCCACCATCTCCGGGAACTCCGCCTCGGACATCCGGCCATTCCCGGATTTGTTAAAAACGTTAAACGCGAACTCAAGGCGTAAAGGCATGTTCCCTCGGCTATAGAGTATGTGAAGTGCAGACATGAATGAAGAGTAGACCCAGGGGAAAATTCCGGTCTCAGAATTCTTCGTCGAATCTTTGATATCTTTGAGATCGTCCGTCGTGTTGGCGACGTTGGAGCTTTTGAGTACACTCTTAGTAGGCTTGTACTTATGCTTTACGTTATCTTGTGAGTTAAAACTACTTTCCAAGCGGATCTGCCCCTTCTCAACCCCCGAGAATGAGTCCACACCGTCTTTGGAAATATGGTTCACGGGAATGCTGTCGGAAGTGACGTCCGAAGACCTATGGGGGTCCGCCTCGAGAAAATCTAGATCCTGAGAAGGGCACCGTGTTGTGTTTTCGATCTTAGGGGCTTCGTCCTTTTGGTGTGCAGAAGTGCTGTTCAACAAGTCCTTTGGTATCGCGTCGTTATCTTCTGAAAAGCTATTACTTGGGTTGGCTGAGATCGACACCATAAATGACCTTCTTTTCGTGTTGATGATTGTTGATTTGGTGAGAGAATTCGGCGCCTGATCGACCTCTGAGTCTTTTTCCATAAATGTGGAAGCGGTGCGAGACGCCAGGGCGGAATTTTCCTTCGCGTCGAGGGTGGCCTTCAGGTCGTTGGGAGTCTCGCTCTTGGGGCTGTCGAGCCTGACGTCGTCGGCATGATCGCCATCACTGCCCTTGCTGGAAATAGAGGAGAACGACGAGGAAGAAGGGGGACGTGGCAATTTATTAACGTTCTTTTTTAGCAAGTTCCATCCTTTAGGACCAGCGGAGGTCAAAAACTGTGAACCCGGCCGCGGCGAATCATTTGTCGGCGATCCCTTGATGTCTAAAATCGATGTGGACGGCGGGTTCCCCTCCAAACGGTCCCCATGGTACATGGTAAACGATGAGAAGTCCAGCTCATCCACGCTGTGGAGCTCCTCAACCTCCTCTTCGCTTTCGTCGCTAAACTCCTGCAAGACCCGCTGGACGTAATCCACCAAAGTCCCGAGGAAGACATGGCCGGTGCTGTTTAAGTCGAAAAAGGTGAACAAACCCACCATGTGGTCATCCTCAAGGGCCGCGGAAACCGGGGAGAGGGTGCGTAGCTTCGTCGCGAAGGTTTTGAAGTCGATCAGAATCTCGCGCCACCAGTTTGCATTCACAAAGGCCTCGTGGGCTTGATTAAACAAGGGAAACTGAAGCTGACTGCGCCGATACCCCTCCGAGGAGGACAACACCTCGGAACTGGGGGCCGAAAAGGATAAATTCCGCTCATGGGAGGTGCCGAAGATGGATTTGAAGGATCCTTGGGGACGTTGGACAAGGGGACTGCCTTCCGTATTCGTGAAATGTCTCGAGGAGGAGGTGAGAACGGGTTCTACTATCAGCACACTCTCGTTCAGGCTATCGGTGCAGGAGCTGACCCGCGAGTCCTGTTTTTGAGGAAAGACGTCGTTTTTGCTGTCGTGAAGAAAAACCGCAACGACGTCGTCCGGCAAGTCCAGGGTGCTGAAAATGCGGCGAATCATAAAACGCTGCCAACAGGGCCGGTAATCCGCCGAAAAAAGGGCGTCGAAGTGGTAAAGAAAGCGCGCGTACTCGATGCAAGGCACGCCGTCGACTTCCAGACGTGGGGTGAGAAACTGGGCGAGGTAATACCACGGGAGATCCAAACAGAGCACATCATTCATAATGGTGCACCACTCGACCTTGTAGATAAAGCCCAGGTGCTGCTCATCCACGCTGGAAAAGGCGGACAGGAGGGCATAGCGATTGCAGAAGACCAGATCGCGAAGCTCATTCACCACACGAAGTTGTAATTGCAAAGAATTCTCAAGCTGAATCCCAATGTCGATGGTATTACAAGAAGCGGGATCGTCGCCGGACTCCACTAACGAGGTTTGCGATATGGGCCCCAACGAGGTGGCCTTGTCGGTTATGCCATTCCCGCCATCGCCGCCCTCGAGAGGGCTGTGGTCGGGGTTCCCATCATCGGATGAGGATTGAACGAAATTCAGACATTCCCCATAAAACGCTCGAATAAACTCGTCGGTGTAAAAAAGGATGTCCCGCCCGCGTGATTCCGGCAACTTCAGAGACGGCTTCGGGGCTTCCTGGTCGGACACCCCACCCTCGCCATCGCCGTTCGGCGGGGCGGATTCTTTAGAATTGTCTTTTTGCGTCCCCAAGTACGAGTCGACGGAAAGTCCGGTATCAAAAGCCTTCGCCTCGGTGTCCTCGCGTAAGTACCACGTGTGGAATACGGGCTGTTTGGCCTCCTTATTGATCACCGCCACCGCCCCACGATTTCCCGAGACCCCGCCATAGTTCGAGGAGCTGAAAATTGTAATACACTTGTTGCTGTGGATGATCTCGAAACCGGAAAGTTTCACGTCGTGCGAGCGAATCACCAGCTCCAGGTTGTTGAGCTTGAGGAAGAGTTCGGTGATGTTGGAAAGGTATTCCACCCCGCACCCGCGCTTGCTGCTGCGCCAGTACTTTCCCTGATGCTCCGGGCCGAGCGCCCGCGAGCGATACTTCTCCACGGGGTCATTCCACAAAAGATCCACCAAAATGCGCTCATTACGCGTGGTTTGCTCCACGACGGGGATATCCCGAACGTGCCCGATGGCCTCGATCTCCATCAGCGTGCACGGCTCCCTTGGCACGCCCCCGTGCACGATCGCGACGCGGTTGTCCACCACCGTCAAGAGCGACATCACGCAATAACTTTCCAGAAAAAGATCGTGAATGCCCGAGGCCTCCAGGTTATACTTAATACAAAGCTCCGAAAGAAAGCCGTACTCGGAGTTAATGCGATAATCCTCATGGTTGCCGCGGTTCAAAAAGACGTACTGGGGATAGGTGCACAGCAACGCGAAGATGTAGACCGCGACCTCGCACCCGTACTTCCCGCGATCGACGAAATCCCCGTTAAATAAGTAATACCGCCGTGGCCCCGGCTGCCCCATGAGGTCTAAAATATAGAGCAAATCCCCCAGCTGCCCGTGAAGGTCGCCGACGATGACCAAATCCCCTCGCTGAGGGATGGTTATGTGGCGAACGACCGGGAGCCCCGTCATGAGTGTCGTGGCGGCCTTCACCACGCTCCGCACCACGCGCAGGCTCAACACCTCCCGCCGTGTGATGCGTTTGGCGAGGTTGTGGAGGTGTTCGGGGTCGAGATAGCCCCCGGCCTCGTTCGGGCTCGTGAGGATCTCCACCGGCCCCCCGTCCTCCATCTCGAGAAAGCTTTTCCGCGAGGACCCTTTGTCCGTCTTGGTGGGCGAGACCCCGTTCTTCCCCGCGCGCGGGCTGCCCTCGGGCGAGAAGGAGGCGTTTGACAGCTCTTTTTGCCGCTCCCGAAGGGCGTGATCGAGGGTATATTTCAGCACCACCCTGCCCTCCCCCCCGCGTGAAGGGTCCTTGCCGACGCCTTTGCGCTCCTGCAGGGAGTCGAGGGCGGACCAGACGTGCGCGAAGATCGTCTCGCGCACCCGCTGCTGCATCACGTAGCGCCGCCACAGACACTGCACGATGCGGAGCTTCCCCACCAACTTCTCATCGAGCGG